TATATCCTGAAGTATTCAGCGAAGAATATTTACTTAAAAGTCTGCTATGGGCGCATTAACTCAGCGCCGAAAGTTAGTGTTGGTTTAGGGTTTGATCAACTGCAGCGTTCTCTCTTGTCATAACTTCAAAGCTATCCCTGCAATAACAGCTTTGTTTCTAAAAACCTCTCTATGCCAAATTTGATATACAATGCTGAAACATATATGGAAATTTGAACCAAAGATGTGATCAGCTTCGAAATTGCCTAAAAATGTTCCTGTATTTATACTGTTCAGCCGATTAAGTTTTTGTTATCTTAACTTGATTTCAAAAGAGTCTCGTTCCCAACAATTCATAACATACTCGTATTTACACCTCTTCCTATCATGTCTAAGAATAGGTATTCGAATACGAGCAGGAACCGCTTTTATTTCAGCAACATAAAGCAAGTAAAAATGCTTGTCAGACGAAGGAACTTCTGGACTAGACCTTACGTCGGGCTGGCGTGGGGGAGCAGAGACAAACTACTCGTCAAGCCGGCAATTGACAAGCGTGAGAATTTTACGAACAGTCGTTGTTGCAATTATATAATTAATTATTTAACTCAAAAGAAAATTTGTCTACGACACGCAAGAGAATGACAATGTGTTTGGTTATCGCCTGTGGAACACGCGGCATGTTTAGCTAGAATATATGGTTGATGTATAGACACACGAGTTAGGCGAAATATTCAGAATTTTAAAGGCACTACTCAGTCATGCTAAAAGGACACGCTTGCTTCACAGGAAGTGGCTGTAGAGTTATAGATTTATTCGCCAAGTCCATAATGGCCAGATATGTTGCGTTATTCCCTGTCATTATATTAGAGAACATATCTCTTTTATTTTAAAGCAAGTAGCGACGGTTGCTTAACATTTTTTCGTATTCCTTATGTGATCGGTACCCTTTACCTGATTATATTAGAGACAGCAGAAAGCGGGACGGTTACTTATTTTTACCAGGAATAAGCTTATTTCAAACCATATGTACTCCCCTATTTCCTGCTTCTGTGGAACTATCGATGCAACAATTTTCAGGATTATTAATTGGACTAATTCACAGCCTGTTCCTAGCTTGATATGAATCACCGCCCCGCAGCGCCACACGAATCATAAACAAATAATTAAAGCTTGTACGGTATTATTTTGCCTTCTGTAATAGCATTTACTGCACATCAACAACAAAAGCATCGCAATCAGGACGGCACAGAAAGGAACACATTTGCAAAGCCACATGAAAAACCGCATGAAATCGCATAAATTATTATAACTCTATTAATCTGAAAGAATTTATTATTTTAACCAAAATCGTTGTTCATTCCAGGCCGGAGTACGGCGAACAGCGACTGCAAAACCTTGTCTGAACAAGTGAGCGATATTTTCCTGGACGCGACAATAGAGAGGATAGTAAACGCACAAAACGAATGCTCTACTTGTATTATTCAAAATTAAATAGAGCTGTGATGAATGGAACTAGTTTTGGGGATACCACTTAGCTTAAAATGAATTTCTAAGTTTGCTTCTTTTTTTTAGCCATTTAAGCAATATTTGATTAATTAAAGGTAGACGATTTGCTTCGTATAATCAACAACATTATTCGAATGTAAATATTCTGATTAAAAGCGTCTCCTTTTTGCATCTTACGACCTGCAAATACCGTGCTTCGGTAGAGATGTATTAAGTTAGAATTATATTAGAAATTCAAAGTCATATTGATAATTTGACCATGATTCAAAAATGTGTTCACAGATTCGGCTCACATTAGGGAGAACTCAATATTTAAGCTGCGTTTTATAGTCTTATGCTAACAAAATTTATTGTCGTTGCCATTGCTCCGGCTGTAGTTTTGGTTGCTTTTGTTTGCTCCCATCCTGACTATCCTTTGCGTTAACTGTGTACTATTTAATCACCTGCTGTGCGCCCACCCGTTGTTTCGTCCACCCGTCTGTCTCGCCGACCCCCCTTGACCATGTCCATACATCATTTCTTCATGCCGTGCGCGCGCCGAAATATGAACGAGCACGCTCCTGCTCCTGGTTATGTGGCCGACGACCATTTAATAGTTCGGCGTGGGCTGTAGGGATAATGACGACAAAAACGACCCCTACCCATTTATTCTTTATTTATTTTTAATCACAAAACAAATACGTGACGCCAGCAAAAAAAATGTTAGTCATTTGTCGAATGTGCAGCAATTTCCGAATTGAAAGCCACGGCAAATATTTGTTCAAAAACGTGTTAGTTAGAGGGTGGAGGGGAGGAGGTAGAACAGCCAAAAAACATAAAATTATTAAGTATTTAGAGCTTATAATTAACATAGTTATGAATGAGGAGGATAGTAAAAAAAACTAGCATTCTCGACACTATCGAACTACCCACCCCTTCTGCACCAACAATGCAGCTTTTATCGTCTTCCTACTGTGGTCAAGCAAATGCCTAGGGGGGCCCAAGGCAAGAGGCCGCGGCTTAGCTAACTCTGAATGACTAGCTACCTGATTGAGGGTTTAGAGCTGGGCCGTGAGCGTACCATATGTAGTCATTATTGTTGCTGTTAACTTTAAATAGCCATTTGATAGCAATAGCAACGACAACATCGGGGGTACAGCTAGTGGCTGGCTGCTCCTCATCGTCATCGTCATCATCATAGCAGTCGTCGTCTATTATTTAAAGTCAATTAATCAATCATTTTGAAAATACTTCAAATTGTTAGTGCTCTTCTCGCTCTTTCCCATCTTCTATTTTTGCCGGCTTCCACCGCATGTACGAGTATACTGAATACCGTTCGCTGACTGCTCGCGCAGGCTCGCTGGCGGCAGGCACTTAACTGCCCCGACCGCTCAACTGGCAATCTTAAAAGTCAGCTACAGCGCCGGCAACAACAACAGCAACAGCGACCTCGATGCGGCAAAATATGTTCAGATTCTTCAGACAAACTGGCAAATTATGTGATAATATGGTCAGTCAGTTAAAAATATTAATAGTCGACTTAAATTCATCTCCTAACCACAAAACTAATACAAATATGAAATGCATCGATGTGTATGGTTAAATGAAATGGCTTAGTGGGTTAGTGGTAATCGCGTCAAATTGGTTAGTGCTCTGAATATGGCAAGTGAGGTGAGTGAGGGAAATTAAATCAAATAAACTTAGCGTAGTCCCAACCCACACTACGAGTATACGTGTTTGAAATACTGGACTGCAATCGGCACAAAAGCTTCACAGTAGCAACAACTAAACAACGCTGGCAAGAAAATTCTGAGAGGCAGCCGTGCACTTTACGACTCTTGCACTCATTCGACTGCCATTCCCAATTTTCGGCAAGCCCAAGTGGGAAGAGGAAAAGATAGGATGGTGGAAAGTAGCACACAACTGACATGCAGCTACAGGCAACGAAATATAACTATACGGCCTATTTTCGGCATAGCTCGCCGTTTTAAAATTGCATGTTTTAGGTAGATCGACTTATTAACTTCAATTTATTCCTGCCCGGCAGTAAATGCCAGGAGTCTATTTTTACATTGGGAAGACATTTATTTTGGCCGTATTTAGTTTTACTTAAAAGCCATTTTATTTGCTACCTCCAGCAGAAATAACCTCTGCTCAATGGACATCGAAATTCAATACATAATCGTATGTGCGACTCATCATTTCTGATTCCTTTCTTAAATCGATTTTTTCATTCTATGAACATTTTATATTTTCAATTTGGAAAGTCTATCTGTTCTGTTGAGTTAATCTTGAAACCAGACCCTATTGTATACATTGCACGTAATTGGCGTCATTTTAAGCAATGTATTGGTTTCAGTTCGCATTTTAGGACTTTTCGTCTTATCACCACTAAAACTGCTCATTCAGTAATTGGTGTTCTGTCAAAGTTTTACCGACCTACATAACATACTCGTGTGTGTCTGTACATATGTACAAACGATTATGTCTTCAGTGAAAGCATATCTCAATATCCCATATCTCAATATCCCATATCTCAATAGCACGCTTGCAAATGCCAGATTTAAATGTTCAGTTTTATTTGATATGTGGCGGCAAGAACTTTGAATCAGAGTCAGCTGCCTAATTAGCGCTTGGAAATGAGCTGTACTCCAACATATAAGTAGCATGTGTGTGCAAACACATACATATGTAGATATGTACAAGTATAATGACAATGCTGAACAAAGCACAACAGACGCAAATTAAACGCAACTTCCTCCTCGCTCAAACTTTTGGGTTTGGCTGCAGATTGTTATTCTCTCTTCGTCTAATCTGTTATCTAATGTCGTTTTGATTTGACGAGGCGTCGAGTCGTGGGAAAATACTGAACTCAGTTCCTGTACCCCAGACCTAGAAGAATAAGAGCCATAATGATATAATTAATAAAATGTATTAATACATAATATAATATAATAATACAGATACTGTTTGTATTAAATTAGAATTTAGATTTAAATTTGACTGCACAGTTGTCTGCGTTTTCCCAATAAATACATGATTTATGAATGTCTGTAAAGTTTTCATTCATTCATTTTTCATTGCATTTATTTATAAAAATGGCTAGTATATGTTTATTACAAGTTAAAAATATAAAGTTAAGTGTCTTTTTACAACGTTGAAAGTAATGTCCTATACAAACAATGAAAGACCGATTTTTAAGGAAACTGTATATTATTTTTATAAGTTCTGTGGAAAAGTTCATTCCTTTCATTTTATAAGCAAAGAAAAACTGTATTTTCCCATACACTAATAGCCATCATGTCCCTAAAACATTGTAAACGACAATAAAGGTATTTTCAAATATTTAACAATCGGACAGCTTTTGGAAATAAGGGTTGACTATGAATGTTTATCGAAAAGCATGCTAACGTCAAAGAGGTAGGCGACAATTTGTTCTAGACAGATTAAAGCTAGCCATGACAATTCAATTACCCGAAAATCATTTCTACTCTGAGTAGCATTCAAACAGCCCGTCGGAAAATCTTGCGAAAAAAAATTTAAAAATACTTTTTTGAAGCAAATATGGACGAACTAAATGTGAATCAACAGATTAAGCCCGATGCCAATCAGAATGCTGATAAAAGCCAGGTCGTCCAAGTGCAGGCAGTTCCGGCGGCTCTGCAGGAACTGAAAAAACTGCAGGAAGAACAGAGAAAGGAAGAGGATGAGGAAGATCACGACGAGCAGAAACTGCAGGTAAAATCGGAAGTGCTGAACGCGATAGAACTTCCAGAAGTGGTGGAACAGCCGAAACCGCAAACAATAAACGAAATCGAACCTAAAAGTGAGGAGTCCGACACGGAAAGCAGCACCAGCACCAGCGACGGAGAGGTTGGCCCGTACTTGAGCGAGGAAGAGGAGTACGAGGACTACGGCGATGATTTAGATCAGGAGATCTATTTTGATGACGATGCCCAATTAGAGGACTATGAACGTGAGCAACATTTCCTTACGCATAAGAAAGTGAGACAGCGAAGAACTCTTTTCTCAATTCCTATCTTTGCAGATTTTTTTTAACTCAACCGAAAACCATGTTGGCATCGGGACAAACAACTTTTTAACGAATTAAACAGACTGCATGACAGGTAATTAAAATATCTTTCTCGAGTTTATGATCCAATTCATTACTTTCTTATAATGAAGGAATTTTGATTCTTTTCTTACATTTGCAGATTTCATTTATTCATCTCAAAATGTTAGGAATTAATTGCTAAAAAAAACACGAAGGGTGCAACGATTTTCTGATGCCAACACATAGAAAAGAAAACGTATAAATTCCCAAGCTGTCCAGACATCCAAAACACTCACACAATACAATGAAGTTATAGATTGAAAGCCAACAATATAATCAAATTTTCTGATCTAATAGGATCCAGCACCAACGCTTAACAATCGAAGGTTAACCATATGCGTTTGCGATAAAGATCTCTTCATAGGATCTGGGGCCAACGCTCATTATTTGAGAAACTCGCTTACAACATACAAAATAAAAGAGGACATCTGGACAAAGTCTATATCAACTTTTTCTTTTACCTGTGGTTGGGGTTATTAAATAGCCAGTTTGGTGAGTGAGAGGATTCATGTTAACTGAGATTGGTTAGAAAACTGAGTTACATTCTATCTCTTTTTGATAACAAGTCGATAAATAAGTTCATGAGCTTCCACATCGTTGCGTAGGGCATTATTGGTTAGTGGTGCCCCAGAGCAAGACTGCGGAAAAATTTACTTCAGGCGTGGGTTTCCTTACTTCGATGGCTTTTTGATGATATCAGTAAAATGGAGACGGGTATGTGCTGGCTACTTGCGGCCCGACACGACACGGCCAAGAAATGAACTTTTGAAAACACGCACGCGCACGAACGACGAAAATGTTTCTTTTTCTAGACAGATTAAAGCTTGCCATGACAATTCAATTAACCGAAAATCATTTCTACTCTGAGTAGCATTCAAACAGACCGTCGGAAAATTTTGCGAAAAATATTGAAAATACATTTTTAAAGCAAATATGGCCGAACTAAATGTGAATCAACAGATTAAACCCGATGCCAAGCAGAATGCTGATAAAAGCCAGGTCGTCCAAGTGCAGGCAGTTCCGGCGGCTCTGCAGGAACTGAAAAAACTGCAGGAAGAACAGAGAAAGGAAGAGGATGAGGAAGATCACGACGAGCAGAAACTGCAGGTAAAATCGGAAGTGCTGAACGCGATAGAACTTCCAGAAGTGGTGGAACAGCCGAAACCGCAAACAATAAACGAAATCGAACCTAAAAGTGAGGAGTCCGACACGGAAAGCAGCACCAGCACCAGCGACGGAGAGGTTGGCCCGTACTTGAGCGAGGAAGAGGAGTACGAGGACTACGGCGATGATTTAGATCAGGAGATCTATTTTGATGACGATGCCCAATTAGAGGACTATGAACGTGAGCAACATTTCCTTACGCATAAGAAAGTGAGACAGCGAAGAACTCTTTTCTCAATTCCTATCTTTGCAGATTTTTTTTAACTCAACCGAAAACCATGTTGGCATCGGGACAAACAACTTTTTAACGAATTAAACAGACTGCATGACAGGTAATTAAAATATCTTTCTCGAGTTTATGATCCAATTAATTATTTTGATTCTTTTCTTACATTTGCAGATTTCATTCATCTTAAATTTCATCTCAAAATGTTAGGAATTAATTGCTAAAAAAAAACACGAAGGGTGCAACGATTTTCTGATACCAACACATAGAAAAGAAAACGTTATCCAAAACACTCACACAATACAATGAAGTTACAGACTGAAAGCCAACGAGCTAAACAAATTTTCTGATCTAATAGGATCCGGCATCAACGCTTAACAATCGAAGGTTAACCATATGCGTTTGCGCTAAAGATCTCTTCATAGGATCTGGGGCCAACGCTCATTATTTGAGACTCTCTCTTACAACATACAAAATAAAAGAGGAAGCCTGGACAAAGTCTACATCAACGTATTCTATTACCTGTGGTGCGGGTTATTAAATAGTCTGTTTGATGAGTAAGTGAGAGGATTAATTTTAACTGAGATTGGATAGAAAACTGAGTTAGGTTCTAGCTTTTGGTGATTACAAGCCGGTAATGAGTTCATGAGCTTCCACATCGTTGCGTAAGGCATTATTGGTTAGTGGTGCTCCAGAGCAAGACTGCTGACAAATTTAGTTCTGCGTGGATTTCCTTTCTTCGGTGGCTTTTTGAAGATATGTGTGTACTTGGCTTTTGACGGACCGAATACTCAGCGACAACTCTATCTGATCTACTGTATTGAAATGCGACTATACATACGGCTTAAGCTAGTAGTCAACTTTGAATGGGCTATAAATGTCATACGACAAAGTCATAAAAATATTTCTAGGCACGTCGAACAGAATCGCCTTTTGTTTTCATATCAATTCTTCTACAGCAAGCACACACGCGAATGGAGAGAAATTATGCAAATATACTCATATGTATATAAAAACAAAATAGTTTAATGGCTAGACAGATTTGTATGTAGTTGTTTTTATTAAAATATAGCATATGTATTGATAAAAAGTTGGAGATTCTATAGATATTATTGTACCGTTATGTATATAAAGTTGGAAACATTTTCATTTTGTTTCGATGCTGGTGGCCAATAAATGACTGCCACTGTGACATAAGGTTTACGTGTGAAAAGATACACAGCTCTGTATAGTGGTTCATGAACAAAATTGGCAGAACTAGACTCAATTTTCAAGTTGTTTACAACACTGATTGGACAAAGTTGGAAAAATGTAAGATCATAATTTTTTGCTTATTTAACAACAAGATAATTTGTTATCACCTAAAATGTATACAGTTTTGAAATAAGGGCCTTACTCCTATGAATCTCAGGAGTATGATTTGTGATGAATGTTATCAAAATTTTCAAAATTTAACATCATATTCGTCTCGATATATTAATCTGATGAAGATGAAGTATTACTTGTAATGTTTAAAGTAAAAAAAGAATGGAAACCTAGTATTTTGCAGGCCCAAAACTTACTCACAAAAAACATAAAAAATTTTTCGTATGTATAGTTTGTTAATAAAACATAAAACAGATGGACATGGTTATAACGACTTGTCTTGTCATACTGAAACCTAGTGGGGTCTGCCCCACCTGCTTCTGCGTGTTGCAGAAACTAGTATACCTTTTTGATTAAAGGGTGTACAAATAATAATCAATACTTTATTTGAAAATTATTTGTTTTTAGAAAGACCAAGCTTCCAAACCACTGTGCGACATCATCAGCGCAGTCGCAACCGTTGGAGCAATCGTAACCGGTTCGGCGTGCGCACCAAATTGGGCAACCACCGAGGCGCCACTAGCTATTCAAGCGAAAAATATACTTATGTATGTATATATGTATGTATACTTGTATATTTTGCTCTCTCAACTTTTTCTATGATGCTGAGGCACTCGTATAGTATTGGAAGTTGGCGTTAGCGTGGACGTTGAACGGGGTTGCTGTTGGCGCCGAGGCCGTGAGTTCTCAGAGTTCTCATGCCAAAACGCTGCCATATTAGTCAAGTTGGTAGCCAGCTCGAACAGCGATTAGTTGTAACGAGAAACGCGGCAACATGCAACTAACAGAACTATTACACATTATTGAATTGCTGCGGCCTAACTACACAAAGAGAAAAGTAATTCTAGTTTATCTATTAATTGTTATTGTCATTTTTCTGGTAGGCTTGTAACCTTTGATCTATTTGTATTTTAGCGTTTATGTTTGTACGGCCCTGAAATTACATAAGCAGGTTCAGTTGCAGCCGCTTTGTCTACATTTTGGGGGCATTAGTTATAATTGATTTGGTTTCAGCTCAATATTGATGCTCAATATTTTAGATGCCATACTTTTATTCTGTCGGTGTAACGGACAACTTTCTTGCTTGGTTACCTGTCCGTTTGAGAGGATGATCGCGTAGGTTGTTTGGAGTTCCCATGGACCACAACGCTGTTAGTAGCGTTAGTATCTGGTCAGGTAAACGTCAGGTGTGGCAGCGCCTGCGCGCGTCGTTAATTGTTAAGCAGCCGCCGCATAGTGGCTCCTGTGACCAAAACACAAAGCAAAACTCAACTATTCATTGTTAAGTCGAATACGGACATACGTTACCGCAGTAGAAACAGTTTATATTCAAACAATGTTCTATATTCTCTTGAACTGTATATGATAAAGATGGCACATTGATGAGATTATTATCATACTGACTATATCACATCTAGAAAAGACTCGGTTTTGCATTTGAGAGTAAAATATTCTCGGTTTTTTTTTTCGGTGCTGGGCATGAAAGCATTTGTATTTCTGATGATAATAGCTTGTTCAATGGATTCTTTGTTCAATTACAAATACACACACATATAAATATATATCAGCATTTTGTGTGCAACAATCTTCCTACAGTATGTAACAATTGCGTAGATTTGTCAAAATGTTAAGTACATATTTATTGAATTATTTTCGCATCGAAAAAACTTAGAATGGGCCACTGTGCGTCGTCAATGAACTGCAAATGGTGTGCATAGTACCGCAACTGGCGTTTGCCGTTGCTGTTGTAGTTATAAAGTCTGGTCAGATTTGTCTATAGTTGATCGTTTAACTGGGCCGCGCACACAAGTGTCTATGGTATTTTTAGCTAAGCAATAGGAGAAAAAAAATTAAAAGAGAAGCGGACGAAAAGTTATTGCTTGGGAAGCCTGTCAGTCGAGCATTCAGTTGAGAAGCCAGTAAACCAGCTGGACAACTTACTGATTGGCTATGAATTGCAATTGTCAAGAGCCAGCGCATGAAATTGCCAACAACCTGTACGTATTAGGCACCAAAGAACCATGATATTACATAGAGAAATATTGTGGACTTTGGGATACGGACAGTGTTTGTTTCTTTTTCTGCTTTTTGCATCCAATTTGTTCTTTTATTTAATTTTGTTTGCCACAAATAATTTGATATCACTTCAGAGGTTAAGTATTGCTCAACATTGCATTTATAAAATAGTTCGAAACCACCTGTACAAAAAGTAATTGGCAGAACATTATGTGCTGCTGATTTGGTCACTACACGGATCACTGTCCATTGTAGCCTTCTTTCTTGAGACCGTTACCAAGAATTGAAAAAAACGGCCCATAACATTATGCACAATCGCTTTTTGACTTCGATTTGCTTTACATTCTTAGGACTACCGTGAAGCATTTACAGCTGACACTCGAGCTGCATTGCTTTGGTTTTTGTTGGAGTGGCGGCAGCCACAGAAACCACAGGAAATCAATTCCAAGAGATTATTTGTCTTCCGCTGCTGATTCAGCTCGCCAGTGTTTCAGTGGCTCCTCACGCAGTCTCCGTCTCAGTCGCCGTAGCAGTTAACGTTACTATCGTTGCGAGCGCCTCTTTTGTGGTTGCCGTCAGAGCTGTTGCTATCAAAATAGCTTGTTGCATAGGGGCTAGATTTCGATATAGAAAATAAATCGGCGCATTTAACACGCTTCATTTGTTCGCATTTTGAAAGCTTTCGAGTCACCAGCGCCGCCATCGCCGCCATCGCCGCCATCGCCACCAACACCGCCACCATCCGCACCCGCATCACCAAAAACGCAAGCGTCAGCTGCTCTGCACCCATGTCGAGTCTATGTCCATGTGTTGGTGGCTGATGTCGATTCGGTTTGACTGTCCAGCGATGTGGTTCATTATTGATGGTTTATTAACACGGCATGAGGTGTTGAGAGCTGTCCCAGTTATACTCGTATGCCTCTCCATTGGTCGACGCTGCGCTGCAATTTCGCGCGCTTTGTCGGTTTCTGTGTCGATCTGGTCGCTTTTCTACCTTGGGAAAAAGTATATTGCATTTGCTCTGATATTTGTTAGGCATAAAGAACATAAAACGTGGTAGACCACACAAAGTGTGGTGTCAGCGTGTCAGAGTCGATAAAGCCATATCCGCCCGATCCTAACAATCGCCCGATCTTTTTTAAGAAGCCGTATGAGCCACGTTTTTTATTTCTATCCCCTCCAATTTTTATGTGTAACAGTATTGCTTACTGTTTTAACTAAATGAGTTGAATTTTAGGAGCAGTAATGCATCAACAGTAATATACTGATTGAGATTGAGGAAAGCAGAAATATTATTGATCAGCATCGAAAAGGGCGTCCATATAATCACGTCCGTGGATTTTCAGCATACAGAAACTAATCCCGGTTACATTTTATTTTAATACTTATATTTTCAATACCCTTTACTCGATGAAATAAGACATGTCATGGTCATAGGTATAACGAGTTCTCTGATCAAAAGAAGTGCTAATGCCAAAGACAACGATCCCTAATATGCAGCCTTTTTTGTTGAACAAATTTGCGGAAAAAAAATAGAATTTAAGAGAAAAAATATGTGTAGTAGACAATAAGTAGGAGTAGTAGTAGTAGTAATAAGCAGCGAAGGGTCAAGGGCTTCGTCGCAGCCGAAGAAAACTTCTTCGCTTGTGCTTTTTTCGGGTTAACTTCACGACGCCTCTGTGGCTGGCCACTAAAAATAATGGTAATAAAAAATAAAATTAAGTG